GTTGAGCTATAGGCGCTGAGCCAGACTTTTTTTTTTTTGAGACAGAGCCTCACTGTTACCCTCAGTAGAGTGCTGTGACGTCATAGCTCACAGCAACCTCCAACTCTTGGACTTAAGAGATTCTCTTGCCTCCCAAGTAGCTGGGACTACAGGTTCCCACCACAATACCCAGGTATATTTTTGTAGCACTTGTCATTGTCATTTAGCTAGCCCAGACTGGGTTCGAACCCACCAGCCTCAGTGTATATGGCCAGTGACATAACCACTGTTCTAGGGCCCTGAGCCTGCAGTGCAGACTTTTGACTTTACCTTACAAACACAAATAATGTAACCTAATTGTATGTACCCGCATACTTACCCAAAATTAAAAAAACAAACAAACAAACAAAAAAACAGTACATTGCCTGGAACTTAGCTAGAGATTAGAAATTGCTTTGGTAATTAGCACTATGACCTGTCATTTATAGCAGTTGTACCCAGAGGGGAAATGGATGGTAATAATTATGTAAAATGTTCCTGTTCTTATCCCTGAACATGGCATCTTGGCAGAAAATTAAAAAGAAAATATTGGCATTTGTTCTAGGATACAACAAGAAGGATCCATGTATCAACAGATCAAGGGGACACATGGAGCATGGCCCAGCTCCCCTCTGTGGGGCAGGAACAGTTCTATTCTATTCTGGCAGCAAATGATGACATGGTGTTCATGCATGTAGACGAACCTGGAGGTAAGAGCTTTTTAGTGGCTCACTTTTTTTTTTTTTTGAGACAAAGTCTCACTTGGTCACCCTGGATAGGGTGCCATGGCATCATAGCTCACAGCAACCTCAAACTCCTGGGTTCAAGTGATCCTTTTGCCTTAGCCTCCCAAGTAGCTGGGACTACAGGCACCCACCACAACGCCCACCTATATTTTACACACTAGTGTTTTGCTCTTGCTCAGGTTGCTCTCTAACTCATGAGCTCTGGCAACCCACCCACCAAACTCATGAGCTTTGGCCTCCCAAGTGCTGAGATTACAAGCGTGAGCCCCGCGCCCAGCCTTTAGTGGTTCACTCTTAAATGCACAGAGATGTAAGCTTTGATCCCTACTTTGAATAATTTTCTTTTTTTACATATTGGTTTTTCCTCTTACCCCTAGAAATGTATTAATGTCCTACAGATTACTCCATCCTAGAGATAATATAAAGCTTCTGTTTAAAAGGCCACTTGTTTTGAAACTCTCATATAATTTATGTAAAGTATGCTCAAGTGTTACAGAACAGAGAGCTGCTCAACAAACAGTTTTGGAAGACTGGTACGGATCTGCAAACTCTCTATTAACAGCTAAGGACAACCATGGAGAGCAAGAGTTGGGAAACTCTTCTAGCCATCTGATGAAATAATTTTATGTCTGCTGAGTATGATGATAAATATAGATAGAGCTTATATTTTGTGTCTCTTCATTTCATTTTTCTAGTGCTTATTTTTTATAATTTACAAAAGCATTATTTTATGACATATTGAAAATAAAAGAATGATCCTTCATCACAGGTAGTCTGAGAAGTGTTTTTGCTAGACTACAAAGATTCAGAGATGTATAAAATATGAATCTAAATACAGTGCCTCTGCCATAAAAATATAATTGAAAAGAGCTTTTTTGTCGCATCTGATTAATTCATTTAGCAACCTTGCATCTACCATACTCCAAGCACTAAGTTGGATACTGGAATTAAAGATGGGCAGGAAGATCTTGGGTTCCAACCCTTGCTTAATAATCAGGGCTGAGTCTTCATCATGAAGAGAGACAACTGGGTTTAGTCAGACTACTGTTAGACTATTGTTTTTCTGTTCCCTACCAAGACTTAGTGTTTTTGTTTGTTCGCCTATTTCAGATACCGGCTTTGGCACAATCTTTACCTCCGATGATCGAGGCATTGTATATTCCAAGTCTTTGGACCGACATCTCTACACTACCACAGGCGGAGAGACAGACTTTACCAATGTGACCTCCCTCCGCGGAGTCTACATAACAAGTGTGCTCTCCGAAGGTGAGTCTCGGCGTGCCTGTTCTGCCCTGCTCCCTCAGCTGAGTGTGTTAGGATTTGAGGCTTTCAGGGAATCTGATTTTCCTGTCCCCACAAGAATGTTGCTTGCCTAGCCAATACGCCTACCCATATAAATTGTAGCTCCCTATTTTAAATAAGTTAGAGTAAATAGAACTGGGAGAGAACAAAGTAGTAGCAGACAGAAAAATATTTTGAGTCTATGTTGTTTAGGTTATAAGGAGTCTTCTATATGGGAGGTGGAGGCCTCCAGCAAGGAGCCTAAGTTTAGACTACTTCTGGTCTTCCTTTTGTAGAGGATAGAGCAATAGCCTGCAAGGTTCTTCCTGTGTTCCCCTCAATGGCTTTACAAAGCTCTTAGTCAGAGGCCCAGTTATACAGATAAATACGTTAGTCTCAAGTACAAAGACTCTTAAATTTTATTTTATCTTATTTTATTTTATTTATGTATTTATTTTATGTATTTATGTATTAATGTATTTATGTATTTATGTATTAAATTTTATTTTATCTTATTTTATTTTATTTATGTATTTATTATTATGAGGCAGGGGCTGTTTGTTTTTATTTTGTAAAGCCCTCGCAATTGCTTACAAGGTCCTAAGAGACTGGCTCCCTATGTCCTCCCTAACTCACCTGCGACTCTTCTCTGTTTGATTTGCTCTACTCCCATCACACTGCCAGTTCTTAACTCACAGGGTACACACATGCATGGATTAGAGATTTGCACTGACAGTTCCCTCTCTTTTCCCAGATAGCTAAAAGACTGTTTTCCTCCTTCGAGTCTGTGCTGCTATGTTACTTTCTGAATCAGACCTGCCCTGACTATCCCATTCTAAATTCCAATGGGCTTTCCCCTTCTCACACATGTACTCCCAGTCTGCCTTTAGCTGAACAGGTTTTTTCCATAGCAATTATTTTTAACATGTACTTTACTTACTATTAGGTCATTAAATATGAAATGTCACATTTCAAATCAAAAGTTTAGTTTATTATATCTCCAAGAAGAAGCAGTATACATAATTAATCAAGGTATGCACCTAATCGACACAGTTTTGCCATCTTAACAGTAGCCTGTCTATGCCAGCAGTGAAGGATCCTGGAGAACAAGTGGCAATGAAATGGCAAAAAGCATTTTCCAAAGCTTGTCTTAAATTGAATATTTTTCCTTACAAGAATTGGTCCAAAGCCTGGAAGAAGTGGTAGACAGTTGATGCAAGGTCTGGTGAATACAGTGGGTGACAGAGAGGTTTCAAGTCCAGCTTTTGTAGTTTGAGCAGCATTATTTGTAGGACAGCATTGTCTTGGCCCATCTTTATTGACCATTCTCGGCTGATAATCGCAAGCATCCTTATCGTGTTGTCCACTTGGTTGCAGTAGATGTCTGCTGTAATCGATGGAGTAGGTTTCATGAAGCTGTAGTGGACAATACCACCAAACAACGCACCATTAGCTTTTTCTGCTGACTATTTGATTATAGACTGTGTTTTGGCACTTCATCTTTATCCAACCATTGTGCCAAATGCTTGCAAATGTCAAAAAGAATCCATTTTTCATCACACATAACAATATGATATAGAATGGCTTGGCTTTATGTTGTGACAACAAAGAAAGGCAAACTTTGAGATGATTTCTCTTCTGACACTCATTTAATTCATGCAGAGCCCATCTACCCAGCTTATTTACCATGCCAATTTGTTTCAAATGGTCCAATATTGTTAGAATAGTAATGTCTAACCTTGCTGCTAATTCGCATGTAGGTTGAGATGCTTCCACTTGGCCTCAGGACACCCATGTGGCTTATTTTCAAGATTAAAATCAGGCCAGGCATGGTGAGCCACACCTGTAATTCTAGCACTCTTGAGAGGCCAAGGCAGGTGGATTGCTTGAGCGAGGAGTTTGAGACCAGCCTGAGCAAGATGAGACTCTGTCTCTACTAAGAGAATAAAGAGAGTAGCCAAGCACCGTGGTAAATGCCTAATAGTCCCAGCTACTCAGGAGGTGGAGGCAAGAGGATTGCTTAAGCCTAGGAGTTTGAGGTTGCTGTGAGCTGTAATGACATCATGGCAGTCTAGCCTGGAGCAACAGAGTGAGACTCCTTCTCTTAAAAAAAAAAAAGGATTAAAATCACTAGAACAGAACTTCTCAAACCATCAGTGTACTATGTACTCATTAGCCACATCCTTCTCTAACACTTTGTTCCTATTTTGAGCTGTTCGCACTGCACTAGTTTCATGAAAATACATTTGAAAATAACAATTTTTTGACTAGTCTGTGATTTCACAAAAATTGCTCTAAAATTTTTTTGAAAACATACCACAAGCCAAAACATATGTTTGAAAAAATAAGGATGTACCTTTACTATAAAAAAAAAAAAACCCAAGAAGTATCAACGTGCAATGTCAGAGATATCAAATGTCCAACTTAGTACCTGAGGAACTTGGATATTTCTTACTGAATAGCCTAATATGTCTAGTGTTTTTCTTACTGTACCAGAATGTATATTTCACAAAGTTTTTTTTTTTGTCTATGTGTTCACTGATACAGTTCCAAAGGCTTAAAAGGATTTTTACATAGTGGGCACTCGATAAATGTTTGTTTAATAATGGATTTTTCTTTATTTTCTTTCTTGTTTGGTTTTCCTTGGAAAACCATGTTTTCTCTGATTTTAAATCTGCAACAGTTTATGTCATTGAAAATAGGGAATGGGGGGCTGGGCACAGTGGCTCAAGCCTGTAATCCTAGCACTCGGGAAGACCCAAGAGGGTGGATGGCTTGAGCTCAGGAGTAGGAGACTAGCCTGAGCCAGAGCGAGACCCCATCTCTAAAACTGCCTGGGCATTGTGTTGGACTCTTGTAGTCCCAGGTACTTGGGAGACTGAGGCAAGAGGATCACTTGAGCCCAGAAAGTTTGAGGTTGCTATGAGCTATGACAGCACTCTACCAAGGGTGACCAAGTGAGACTATCTCAAAAAAAATAAATAAATAAAAATAAGGAAAGGAAATAGGGAATGGGAAAGAGACATAGGATTAAAAAATGTGGATTTGGTGGCACATACCATTAGTCCCAGCTACTTAGGAGGCTGAGGTGAGAGGATTATTTGATTGCAGGAGTTCAAGACCAGCCTGGGCAAAATATAGTGAGACCCATCTTTAAAAATAAAAGGAAAGAAAGTAAAGGTATAAAAAAGATATGATATGGGGTAGTGGGCAAACAATAATTAGGAATTATTAATCCAGAGCTGTGCACATTTATTCAAATCTTGAGAGTCCTTAAGAGAAACCTGGTATCATGGCATTGTCTGAGTAAGGATTAGGATGTCATCTTGCCATGGCAGATTTTACTTCCAAGACAAGCAAACAGGGAAGGAGAATGGACATCAGCCTATTCATGTGGGTAAGAATTTAAGGGATCTTTTTTCAAGAATATCAGTCCTGGCTCAGCGCCTGTGGCTCAAGTGGCTAAGGCGCCAGCCACATACACCTAAGGTGGCGGGTCCGAATCCAGCCCCAGCCCGCCAAACAACAATGATCACTGCAACCAAAAAATAGCCGAGTGTTGTGGCGGGCGCCTGTGGTCCCAGCTACTTGAGAGACAGAGGCAGGAGACTCGCTTAAGCCCAGGAGTTGGAGGTTGCTGTGAGCTGTGATACCACAGCACTCTACCCAGGGGGACAGCTTGAGGCTCTGTCTCAAAAAAAAAAAAAAAAAAAGAATATCAGTCCTAGATGATTTCTCGAATTAATTGGCTCCTGTTCAGGTGGGAATCCTTCAAATACCATATTCAAAGTGCTCAGTTACTCACCAACACTGAACCATTTTGTTGTGGTTTTTTTTTGTTGTTTTTTGCAGTGTTTTGCTTTTTAAGCTCACATTGGAATTTATTTCAGAACCTTCTCCAAATCGAGACAGAATGCTCCTTGTGGAACAGTTGGTGAACTTTGCCTAGAGATTCTTTTTTTCTCCAATTGTTTTTTTTCCCCTTGGGTTAATATGAAAGCACTTACAATTAGGTCCCATGATTTGCATTTGTAAGGTAAAGTCCAAAGTCTGAGTTGTAGTTGAGTTCTTCACCCAGGAAGTGTGCCATATACCCCCCCCCCCACTGTGTACCCAATAGACTTGGGCCGCTTTGTGAGGTGATAGCTTGTGCAACTCTGGAGATATAATGGTGTTATATGGTCACAGTTAGGAGAGAGTTACACATTACTCATTGATAAACTGAATTTAATTAGGTGCTTCCACTGTATCCAACTTAATATCTTTTTTTCCTACTCAGATAATTCTATCCAGACCATGATCACCTTTGACCAAGGAGGAAGGTGGAAGCACCTGAGGAAACCTGAAGGCAGTGAGTGCGATGCCACAGCCAAAAACAAAAACGAGGTTTGTTTGCTCCTGTTGTCATCAAATGTGCCTGGAGCAAAGCAGACTTTCTGTTCTGCTCTGATCAGTGCCAGACTTTTTTGAATGATGAAGTTTTGTACTTGATTCTGGTCCACAGGTTGAGATGGAAAGTTTGGAAATGAGAACAACTAATTTAGAATTTGGGAAATAGGGAGTGTGAGGAATGGTCAGAATACTATGGATTACTTCTTGTTTGGAGTAACAATTTGTGTCTTACTAAACTGAATGAAAACAGAATGGACAGAAGAGCTAGTGATTAGCTAAGGGTCAGCGTGGCAGCTGTAAGACTTCAGAAATTCTGTGAGAAGCTGCAGACCAGCTGTTCATAAGCGATGCAAGGCAGTGCTAGCAGGAACAAGAGAGAGAGCATCCAGCCCTCTTTCCCTGCTGCCTGGCTCCCGTAGCCAGGGGTGCTGATCTGGTCAGTGCATAGGAAAGCAGAGGCAAACCTCTGAGGAGAGACTGGGAACCGTGTCACTGTAGGAGACTTCAGATGCCAGGAATGACTGGCCTTGACAGGCAACCTTTTTATCTGGCTCTTAAGAAAAATTCAAGAAAAGCTTAGGGGAATGCTGAGAATGTCCTTCAAAAAATGACAATGCTAGTGGTCCCTGAGCTCTCTTCCGGATACCTGCTGCTGATACGGGGGCTGTTTTACTAAGCTGGGTTCTCTGTTTTGCCTTGAGACCTCAGATAGTAAAAGATAAAGTGTGCTGCATCACCCCAACATACTTTCTCTCTTCTTATTCTCATACGTTCTATTGAGGCAGTCCCTGCCGCCTTACCCTTTTCCCAGCCTCCACCTTGGTGGGCAGGCTCAGGCTTCCTACACCTCTCCCTCCCTGCATTTGGCAAGCTGCCCCTTTGCCTGGGAGTAGTCTGTGGTCTAACTTGGTGGGGGGAGCTTCTCCCCTGCAGGGTTGTCTTCTGCTTTTCCATTGTCATTGCCAACTGACCACTGACACACCCCTTGCTGTAACCCACTATTGCCTAAACATCCTGTGGCTTTCCCCACACTGGTTTCTTGAGGAGAGTTGTGTCTGTATTCCAACCCCAAATAATTAGGATTCATGGAAATTCTAACCATCCTAAGTGCTCATCCAGTTAGAATTAATCATTTTTTCATTTCATTAATAGTTTGCTTGAACCTCTTTTTTTAATTGTAGTAAAATACACGTAAAATAATATTTACCATTTCAACCATTTGGAATCTCTTTTATTCTACTAGTTTCTGAATTTTTTCCCACTCTCTTGAGACATAATTGGCAAGTAAAAATTGTATATATTTACAGCGTACAATGTGATGTTTTGATACATGTGTATACCATGAGATGGTTACCACAATCCAGCTAATTAATATATCCATCACCTCACAGTTATCTTTTCTTTTTTGGTGTGGTAAGAATATTTAGAATCCATTCTCTTAGCAGATTTCAAGTATATAATTCATTATTATGGACTGTCGTCAACTTGTCGTACATAGCTCTCCAGAGTTTATTCTTCCTGCATAACTGAAACTTTGTACCCTTTGTCCAACATCTCCTCCCCCTCCAACCTACCCCCGCACCCCGCCACCCCGCCACCCCCACCCCCGATCCTTGGCAGCCACTATTCTACTCTCTGCATCTGTGAATTTGACATTTTTAGATTCCACATATAAGTGAGATCATGTAGTATTTGTCTTTCTGTGCCTGGCTTATTTTACTTAACCTAATGTCTCCCAGGCTTATCCATGTTGTCACAAATGACATGATTTCCTTCTTATTTAATTTCAGATTAATATAAAGGGTGCATACAATTAAATTATGTTGTTTGTGTTTGTTAGGTAACGTCGGAGTTGTAGCTGAGTCCTTCACCTAGGAGGTGTGCCGTATACCCCTTCAATGTACTCATTACATTGGAGCTTACTAAGTCCCCTCCCTCTTCCCGTTCTCTCCCCTTCTTGAATTTAACTGTGGTTCTCTCTCATGTGGGCATATGGTTATTCACCTACTACTTTCAAATTAGTATTGAGTACATGGGGTCTTGCTTGCCATTCTTGTGATATTTTACTAAGGATAATGTTCTCCAACTCCATCCAGGTAAATACTAAAGATGCAAAGTCTCCATGTTTTTCATGGTTAAATAGTATTCCATGGTATACGTATACCACAGTTTATCCATCCATGGATTGATGGGCACTTAGGCTCTTTCCACATCTTTGCAGGTGAATTGAGCTGCTATAAACATTTGACTACACACATCCTTATGATGAAATGATTTTTTTTTCTTTTAGGTAGATACCTAGTAATGGGATTACAGGATCAAGTGGGAGGTGTACTAGTTCTTTGAGGATTCTCCATGCTTCTTTCCAAAAAGGCTGTACTAGCGTGCAGTCCCACCAGCAGTGCATTAGTGCCCCCTTCCTTCCACACCCACAGCAGCACATCTTTGGACTTTGTGATATGGGCCATTCTCACTGGGGTTAGGTGATATCTCAGGTTGGTTTTGATTTGCATTTCTTTTATGACTAGGGACAATGAGCATTTTTTCAAGTGTTTGTTGGCCATTCGTCTATATTTTAGGGAAAAACTTCTGTTTGTGTCTCTCACCTGGTGATTAATTGGGTTGTTTGCTCTTTTCTTGCTGATGTGCTTGAGTACTTTGTAAATTCTGGTTATTAGCTCTGTGTCAGATTCATAACATGCTTATATCTTATCCCATTCTGAGTGGTATTTGCTTTGTTTATTGTGTCCTTAGCTGTGCAGAATCTTTTAAGCTTGATCAAGTCTCATTTATTTATTTTTGTTGCTGACATGGCCAGTGGGATCTTCTCCATAAAATCTTTCCCCAGGCTAATATTGTTAATAGTTTTTCCCACACTTTCTTCTAGAGTTTTTGTCATGTCATGTCTTAGATTTACCTGTTTTATCCAGTGTGAGAGAATTTTTGCAAGTATTGAGAGGTACAAGTCTAGCTTCAGTCCTTTACATGTGGCTAACCGTTCTCCCAGCACCATTTATTAAATAGGAATGCTTTTCCCTAGTGTCTGCTTTTGTTTGGTTTATTGAAAACCAGATGGCAATATGAGGCTGGTTTCATCTCTAGGTTCTCTCTTCTGTTCTGTAGACCTGTGTTTCTCTTTTTTATGCCAATACCATGCCATTTTGATCACTGTAGACTTGTAGTATAACTTGAAGTCTAGTAACATGATGCTTCCAGATTTGTTTTTATTTCTTAGAATTGTGTTGGCTCTTCCAGGTTTGATATCCTTCTTTTCTTAAGATAGAGCCATATTCCTGTGCATGTATATATACTACAATTTCTTTATCCATTCCTTCATCTATGGACACTTAATTAGGTGATTCCATATCTGGCTATTGTAAGTAGTGCTACAGTATGTAGGAGTACAGATATCTCTTTCAGATAGTGATTTGATTTTCTTTGGCTATAAACTCGGAAATAAGATTAGTTAACTGGTGATTAGTCAGGGGTCAGCATGGAAGCTATGAGACTTGAGAAATTCTACAAGAAGCCATAGATGGCTGGGTATGGTGGCTCATGCATGTAATCCTAGCACTCTGGGAGACTGAGGCGGGTAGATTGTCTGAGCTCACAGGTTTGAGACCAGCCTGAGCAAGAGAAAGACCTCATCTCTAAAAAATAGCGGGGCATTGTGGCGGGCACCTGTAGTCCCAGCTACTTGGGAAGAGGAGGCAAGAGAATCGCTTAAGCCCAAGAGTTTGTGGTTGCTATGAGCTGTGACACCATGGCACTCTACTGACAAAGTGAGACTTTGCCTCTTAAAAAAAAAAAAAAAGCCATAGACCAGCCATTCATAAGCAATTCAAATAACATTTACATTTTTAGGAAACTCCATAGTGTTTTGCATAAGGGCTATCTCAATTTACAGTCCCACCAGCAGTTTACAGGATGTACAGGGTTCCCTTTTCTCCTGTCCTCACCAATACTTACCTTTTGTCTTTTTGATAGTAGCCATTCTGACAGATGTGAGATGATAGCTTATTGTGGGTTTTATTTGTATTTCCCTGGTGATGAATGGTGTTGAGTATTTTTTCATATACCCATTGGCTATTTGTCTTCTGAGAAATATCTATTCAGGTCTTTTGTCCAGGGTATTTTTTTTTTCTCAGCAAAGTTTGTTTTCTTGCTGTTGAGTTGTGGAGATGTATGGTGTGCAGGTATTTTCTCCCATTCCGTAGATTGTCTCTCTTCATTCTTGATTGCCTCCTTTACCTTGCAGAAGCTTTTTAGTTTGATGCAATTCCATTGGTCTATTTTTGCATTTTGTTGCCTGTGCTTTGGGGGTTATATCCAAAAAATCATCACCCAGACCAATGTCAAGAAGCCTTTTCTCTATGTTTTCTTCTAGTAGTTTTAGTTTTCAGATCTTACATTGAAGTCTGTAATCCATTTTGAATTAACTTTTGTGTATGATATGAAGTAAAGGTTCAGTTCATTGCTTTGCATGTGAATATTCCCAGCATCACCTATTTAAGAGGCTATCTTTTTCCCATTATGTGTTCTTGGCACCTTTGTAAAGATCAGTTGGCCATAAATGCATAGATTTATTTATAGGCTCTTTGTTCTGTTCCTTTGGTCTATGGATGTTTGGCTTATTTTGATTACTATAGCTTTGTAGGATATTTTAAAATCAGATGATGTGATGCCTAGAGCTTTGTTCTTTTTGTTCTAGTATTGCTTTGGTTGTTCAAGGATTTTTGTGGTTCTAGATGAATTTTAGGATTATTTTCCATTTCTGTAAAAAATACCATTGGAATTTTAATAGGCATTGCATTGACTCTATAGATCACTTCGGGTAGTATGAGCATTTTAACGAGATTAAGTATTCCAATTTATGAACATAGAATATGCTAACCATTTATTTTTGTCTTCAATTTCCTTCATCAATGTTTTATGGCCTTTAACGTACAAATCTTTTTTTTTTTTTTTTTTTTTTGTGACAGAGCCTCAAGCTGTCCCCCTGGATAGAGTGCCGTGGCATCAAAGCTCACAGCAACCTCCACCTCCTGTACTCAAGCGAGTCTTCTGCCTCAGCCTCCCAAGTAGCTGGGACCACAGGCGCCCACCACAACGCCCGGCTATTTTTTTTTTTTTTTGGTTGCAGCCATCATTGTTGTTTGGCGGGCCCAGGCTGGATTTGAACCCGCCACCTTAGGTGTATGTGGCTGGTGCCTTAGCCACTTGAGCCACAGGCACCGAGCCTTTACCTTCAATTTTTAAATTTACTCCTACATTTTTTTTTAATGCTACTGTGAATGGAATTTTCTTGCTTTTTTTCTAGATATTTCATTTTTAGTGTATTGTGTATTTTTATATATTTTTTTCAAGCATGAAATAAAGTTTATTGGGGAAGGTTTACAGCCAGGTATGGTGGCTCATGTCTGTATCCTGGCACTCTGGGAGGCCAAAGCAGGTGGATTACCTGACCTCAGATATTTGAGACCAGCCTGAGCAAGAGCAAGAAGACCCTGTCTCTGCTAAAAATAGAAAAAGTTAGCTGGGCATTTTGGCGAGTGCCTGTACTCCTAGCTACTTGGGAGGCTGAGGGAAGAGGCTCCCTTGAGCCCAAGACTTTGAGGTTGCTGTGAACTATGACCCACAGTACTTTACCAGGGTGACTGAGAGAGACTCAAAGGAAAAAAAAAGAGGCTCGAGGCCTGTGGCTCAAGTGGCTAAGGCGCCAGCCACATACACCTAAGGTGGCGAGTTTGAATCCAGCCTGGACCCACCAAACAACATTGATGGCTACAACCAAAAAAAAAAAAAAATAGCCAGCCATTGTGGCGGGCACCTGTAGTCCCAGCTACTTGGGAGGCTGAGGCAAGAGAATCACCTAAGCCCAAGAGTTGGAAGTTGCTGTGAGCTGTGATGCCACAGCACTCTACCAAAGGCAACAAAGTGAGACTCTTTCTAAAAGAAAAAGTTTTAAGAGTTTCCCACTGAGTGTACAACTCAACAACAATAAAATAAATAACCTGTATAAAAATTAGGCAAAGGACTTGAACAGACATTTATCCAGAGATGTTAAGCAGGTAGCTAACAAGCACATAAAGAGTTGCTCAACATCACTTATCATTAGGAAAATGCAAATTAAAGCCACAATGAGGTATCTTCTTACATACGTTTTCTAAAATGCGTTGGTGACAATGTGGAAAAATCGGAATCCTGTACACTATTGGTTGGAATGTAAATAGTGCAGCTGCTATGGAAAACAGTATAGCAATTCCTCAAAAAATTAAAAATAGGATTATCTTCCAATCCAACAATTCCACTTCTGAGTATATATCCAAAAGAATTGAAAGGAGGGTCTCGAAAAGATATTTGCACACCTGTAATCATAGCAACGTTATTCACAATAGCCAAAAAATAGAAGTAACTCAAGTGCCCTTCAGCAGATGAATGGGTAAATAGAATGTGTGTTGTGTGCACAGACACACACAAACACACACATAGCCCAGAATACCGTTCAGTCTTACAAAGGAAATTCTGGAGGAACAACATGGAGGAACCTTGAGGACATTGTGCCAGGTGAGATGAGCAAAACACGAAAAGACAAATACTGTGTGATTCTATTTACGTGAGGTGCCCAGCACAGTCAGATTTATAGAAACAAGGTAAAATGGTGGTTGCCAGGGGCTGGGAGGAGGAAGACCTGGGGAGCTGTTGCTTAATGGGTGGAAGAGTTTCAGTTTCTCATGATGAAAAGTTTTGGTGATTTGGTTGCACAACATGAATATATTTAACACTACTAAACTAAACATTTAAAAATAGTTTAAGATAGTAAATTTTATGGAATGTGTATTTTATAATTTATAAACAAGATTATCCTACTGAGATCTGGGCTAAGTTCAAAGTGTGGTCAGAAGAGGCCTGTGAGACAAGTAAAGAAATTGTACTTTTGGTTTTAATCTAAGTTTTGGTTTCTTTTCACAGTGCAGCCTTCATATTCATGCTTCCTACAGCATCTCCCAGAAATTAAATGTTCCAATGGCCCCCCTGTCAGAGCCTAATGCCGTAGGCATAGTCATCGCTCATGGTAAGAAGCTCTCCCACTTGACACTGCCAATAGGAGCAGCAGCTGAGTATACTGAGACTTAGCTACAGGCTTTGAGCTCTATAAGAAAAACCACTGTAGGCTGGGCACAGTGGCTCATGCCTATAATCTCAGCCCTTTGGAAGTCTTGAGGCGGGAGGATATCTGAGGCCAGGACTTGAAGAGCAGCCTGAGCAACTTAGCATGCACATAGTCCCAGCTACTCAGGAGGCTGAGACAGGAGGATCACTTGAGCCCCAGCCCCAGGAGTTGTGGATTGCAGTGAGCTATGATCATCATGCCACTGCATTCCAGCCTAGGTGACAGAGACCCCATCTCTAAAAAAAAAAAACCCAACAAAACAAACAAATAAGAAAAACTATTAAACCACTATAGATGGCTTATACATCTATACATCTAAAAAAGCCTTTGTATTCCTTTGGTAGAATTTCTTGCATTGTAATGATACTTAGAGTTTTTCTTAGATTCCTGTCAGAGAGAGCAGCATGACCTTTTCCAAATCTTTGGTGGCCTTCCTTTTTACTACAAGAGGCCTGATGGGGAATAATCAGAATAAATTCAAAGTTAATCTCCCATAAGTAACTCCTCTCGTTCGTTGCCTGTCTGTGCTGATGAGATGGTGGATTATGTTGCAGGGAGCGTGGGGGATGCCATCTCAGTGATGGTCCCAGATGTGTACATCTCAGATGATGGAGGTTACTCCTGGGCGAAGATGCTGGACGGACCCCACTATTACACCATCCTGGATTCCGGAGGCATCATTGTGGCCATTGAGCACAGCAGCCTTCCTATCAATGTGATTAAGTATGCATGAGTTCAGCTCCACGCACACTATCTATTCAGAGGGCAACTGTGGGAATGGGCTTCAGTTTATCAGGGGGAGGTTACTGACCGTGATTCCAATTTCTATATTCTACAAAACTATAAGGAAGGTTCTAGATGGGATTACATTTAGAGCAACTCAGATTAAATGGCATTGACTACCTCTTACTAACCCATATTGTCACTTAAAAATATTCTTCCTTTTCTCCGCAAAAATTTTATGGAATTATTCAAGCCCTCTGGATTGGAAATGACTTCTTAAGTACAAGTCCTTATAAAATAATGAATTTATTAATTTACAAGCTCATTCTTACTTGGGTCACTACCCTCTCTTTCCTTTAAAAGACTTTTCATACTCTCTCTGAATGAATTCTTTTCCCTACCCTGTTTACTATAAACATTAAAAGTTAAAGTAATTGTCAGGTGGGATTTTTGTCTACGTGGGGATCAAACTGTCCAAGTGTTTTCCCCATATTCTTAATACACATTGATCCTCTGTCATGAACTTTCTTTAACTGTGCTTTCAGGTTCTCCACAGATGAAGGTCAATGCTGGCGGACCTACAAGTTCACCAGAGACCCCATCTATTTCACCGGCCTAGCTTCCGAACCTGGAGCTAGGTCCATGAATATCAGCATTTGGGGTTTTACAGACTCTCTCCTGACCAGCCAATGGGTCTCCTACACCATTGATTTTAAAGATATCCTTGAAAGGAACTGTGAGTGTCTCCTTTGACCTTTTCTGCCAGACTTATAAGCCCATTTTCCTAAATAATCAATTTGGTTTAATTCCTTTTTCTTTTAGCTGGCATAAACAAATTTATATGTATATGAAAGGGGATTGAAGGATGTTCCATGTGGATAATCAAGTAATGTAATGGTATCAGAAAAGCAGCTTCCTTCTTAGGATTCACACTGCCCAAGAGAAATATGAGGGCCACATAATGTAATTTAAATTATTCTAGGCCAGGTGTGGTGGCTCATGCCTTTAATCCTAGTGCTCTGGGAGGCCAAGGCAAGTGGATTGCTTGAACTCTAGGAGTTTGAGACATACCTGAGCAAGAGGGAGACCCCATCTCTACTAAAAATAATAGAAAAGCTAGCCAGGCGTGGGGGGGCACTCCTGTAGTCCCAGCTACTTGGGAGGCTAAGGCAAGAGGATCTCTTGAGCACAAGAGTTTGAGGTTGCTGTGAGCTATGAATATACCATGGCACTCTACCAGGGTGACAGACTACAACTCATTCTCAAAAAATAAATAAATGATTTATTCTGCCAGCTACATTATGAAAGTAAAAAGAAAGGTGAAAATTTTAGTAAGAGAATTATCTTAAAATATCCAAAATCTTATTTCAATGTGTAAACAATATTACAAATTATTAATGAGATATTTTGTATTTTTTCCTATGTCTTCCAAATTCAGTGTATATTTAACACATTTATAGCAAATCTCATTCAGACCAGCCACGTGTGGCTGGGACTACCATAAAAGGACAGGATAGCTTTGCACTGTTAGATATCTCTTACTTTTATCATTAGATGTTTTTCCTGCTTGTAAGAATAGTGAATTCATGGGTTTGCCTAAAGTTATTTCGTCACATTACAGGGCTTTTCACCGCTGATTAGGGAAATACAGTGGAACTATAAAAAGGAAACTTTAGAGGAAAGTGTGTTGCAAAGAACACCTAATTGATTATGTCACTTCTCAAAATGTTGAAGTGAGGAGGTTTTCATGCAAAGAGTTTTGGCTTGAATGTCAGTCACAGGTAAGCCTCAAGAATGTCTGTGGGGCAAGCATGCAGCCCACACTGACCACTTCAGAGTTCTGTGACTTCAAACTAGAAGATGTGTTAAGGCCCAGAAAACACTTTGAGAAAAGAGCTCACAGAGTTCATTGCATGGTATGTCTAAAGCATCACAAGCAAACCAATACCTCAATGCCAAAGGTGCTGCCATTACACTAAGTATGGAGGATAAAAGAAAAAATTGGGGGGAAAAGGTGACCTGTAGTTACATGTTGGCATAGTACGATAGAAGACTTAAAGTTTTAAGGCACGTTAATTGAATTATAGTCCTACCAGACTGTGTTATGTGTTCACTTCCTCAGCCTGTTAGTTCAGTGACTCCTAAGGAAGCAGAGCTATTGGTTTGAACCTTTCTTTTCTACAGGATGTTTAATTATGCTTTAATACCTGAGGACCATTGTCATCTAAACTCATTAATAGGCTGTAAAGGAGCTAGCTTATGAGTTTTCCCCTCAGCAGGCAGTTCTACAGTTATCCCTAAAGTTTAATGTTATTAAAAGACTTGTTAATGCACCTGTTGTTTCACAGGCTCTCTGCTGGTCTTCATATCCCAAAGGATAAGAACCTAATCCACAGTCCTTAGATCATAGTGTTTGAGTCGTTTTTCCAAGAGTAAATGATGCAACATACTAAGCCAAAAACTATCGTCATCAACAACCTGCATTTGAGAGGCAGTCAACTAGAGCAAGAAGTCTAGGAGGACATCCTCCCTTCTCTTTGAAGTAAACAAACACATGGGGAAATCGAGCCTGTGTTCTTGGCTAATTTGTGTCTTATCCTTAAACAAAGAGCTTCCTGACCCTGAGTGGAGAACATCTGGCTGCTTCCCTCCTACAGCTCCTGCTGACTGAGAACATAGGTGTTCAAGACACACAGACAACAGCCTCTCCATTCAGAAGGACATGGAGAGGTTCTCTGTTCAGTGTCCCACTTCAAAACGTTTTTCCGAATCCTCAAATAGTTGCTGTAATGGACAGAATCCTCTTTTGGCACAAAGAAATGCAATTGCTAGTAGGCTGTGTCTCAACTAACGTAACCTTTTTTTTTTTTTTTTTTTTTTGAGACAGAGTCTCACTATGTAGCCCTCAGTAGAGCGCCGTGGCATCACAGCTCACAGCAACCTCAAACTCTTGGGCTCAAGTGATTCTCTTGCCTCAGCCTCCCATGTAGCTGGGACTACAGGCGCCTGCCACAGTGCCCGGCTATTTTTTTGTTGCAGTTGTCATTGTTGTTTAGCAGGCCCAGGCTGGGTTCGAACCACCAGCCTTGGTGTATGTGGCCGGCGCTGTATCCACTGAGCTATGGGTGCCGCCAACTAATGTAACTTTTTGTTTGCAGTTCTAAAATGAAGCAATAGGTTGAGTCAGACATTCCCACTTTCCTTCTCCTTGTTCTTCCTATAGCCTGGCAGCTGCCTTCTGTGGTTGGGTTCTGGGCTGTGCACTTTCCTGAACAGTCTGTCTGTCCTTTAGGTGAAGAAAAGGACTATACCATATGGCTGGCACACTCCACAGACCCTGGGGATTATGAAGATGGCTGTATTTTGGGCTATAAAGAACAGTTCCTACGGCTACGCAAGTCATCCGTCTGTCAGAACGGTCGAGACTATGTTGTGACCAAGCAACCCTCCGTCTGTCTCTGTTCTCTGGAGGACTTCCTCTGGTATCAGCATACTTCAGATCCCTCTGTTACCCCTTTCCCTGATGGAGGAGGAGGTGAAAGACAGTTGTCTTACAGGGCTAAAAAATACTCAAATCCTTTTCCCCAACAGTAGACAGCTGCTACTGCTTATTAAGGAAATTGAGGCACAGAGAAAGGGAACCAAAGTTATTAATAATTGGATCGATAATATAACCTTATGAAATGTATTACCTGCAAAAGGTATGGGAGGTAAAGTGGGGCCTATAGGATCTGGACAGAGAAGGCAAGCAGATGGTATCCCCTACGTCATGTTCTCTCAAACTGCAGTGACAATAGATTACATACCCGAATAAAATGCAGGTCTGGTGCAGTGTGGGTCCCCTGCACGACTCACATCTGCATGTGGCATGGTCAAGGGTCCTTCCTTCTCTGTTTCCACAAGGAAAAATATCATTCAATGGCCTTGGTATTACAGTAGGGCTAGAGGTTGTTAATAAACCTGTAAAACTCTACGGGGCTCTCTCCCATCCTCAACTCCACATATGCAGGCTCTTTCCCTTGCTCCTGCTCCATGTATCCTGCTTCTCCAGAGCTCCATCCCATTGCCTCTGCCTGGGAAGTCTTCTGTGCTCCCTGCAACCCCTGACACTGGTGAATTCCTCCTTAGCTCAGATATCACCAGGCTAAAGCCTTCTACAGTTTTCCCCCATCTAGGCTCTCCTAGTTCCCTTATTATAATACTTACTCTGCTTTAATTATTTTATAGGTTCTACCATTAAGGTCTCCCCAATATCCTTGAGAACATATTAGATTAGATAATAATATGGTAGTAATGATAGCAGGTAACATTTGTTGAGCCCCGAATCTGTACTAGGCACTGTCCTAAGCAAATCTACATTTAACCTCATGACAGAGAAGTCAGGAGTAGCTTGTCTGTGGGAAGTGGCAGAGCTGGGATGTGTAGCTGGGACCTCAGCACCAAAACCCTCCTGTGATTGGGGAGTGAGTCCTTTATGAGTGAGAAGGATACTCTCCTAGAAATTTTCACCTGAATTTCCCCCTGCTGTTGGAGGCTTGGTGTCTTCCACATCCTTGTTTTTCCTACTCTCTCCCCTAACTACTTCTCAGAAAAAACCTTGAAGTACAGGCAGTATCTGTGTGTTCCCTCAAATTTCACTGAATACCTGCCCTGCACAGGATGATGTGAAGTGAGAATGGACAGTGTGTTGCAAACAGAAGGTCATAGGTACCATGGGGATTTAGAGAAGGAAGAGAATATTCCATCTAGAGCAGAAAGGAGATGGCTCAACGAAAGCCTCATCAGAGAAGTGACATTTCAGCTGAGCACTGTCAACTGGTGGGGTTTGATTATACGCATTTGGGAAGAAAGCTGGTTATTAAAGCAAATGAACTGCTGTGAGCATAGACACCCAGCAGCATGATGGAGGAAGGGTGTTCTAGGAGATAGGCCTTTAGAAAGTCACAATAGTCAGGATGAGGAAGTAAATGGAGGCCAGATAGAGGATGTCCAGGCTAAATTCTCCACTGAGATGGTGGGAAGGATGGCAGTGCCCTGGACAAAGGTGTAGAAATAGTAAGGAGGGCCTGGCACAGAGGAGAAAGCATGATAGGTTTTGGTCATTTGTTGAGGTTCCATCAGCATATGTAGATGGTACTACATGTGCCCAGAGATACTTGCAACCACAGGTAGTTGAGGTGACTGAGGGAGAGCAGACACACAGAAAGTAAGAGAATGAATTATAGCAAGAAAGAAGAGCAAGTAGCGGGCGGCGCCTGTGGCTCAAAGGAGTAGGGCACCAGCCCCATATGCCAGAGGTGGCGGGTTCAAATCCAGCACTGGCCAAAGACTGAAAAAAAAAAAAATAGAAAAGCAAGTAGCCAGAGAAACAGGTAAGTACAGCTTTGCCAGTGCGAGGGTGTGCAGGGGCACAGGGTGTATCAGATGCCACAGATCATGTGGTCAAGGGGAATGCACCCAGAGAGCGCTCCACTGGGTTTGATGACTAGTGAGCCTTGGGGTGGGGGCTGGAGGGCTCAGACATTCATTTTCAAGATGGGGGACGGGGGCTTGAAGCCAAAATGCATATACATGGAAGAAAAAGATAAGTGAGTAAAAAAGGACCCATAAAAAATACTCTTGAGAAATTTTCCTAATAAGGGAAAGGAGGGTCAAGGAAGTAATTTCTAGGGCAGAGATATGCAGGCTAAAAAGACACTAGCTGAGGGGAAGAGATCAGTTGTCCCTGTCATACTGTCAATGAAGCAAGATCCGAGGCAAGGTGGGTGGGACCAAGGATGCTCCTGTGGAAGCCACTGTGGAGAAAGGCCAGTATGTTGTTTCTTTGGAGAAAACAGAAAGAAGCATATCGAGTTAGTACTATGGAGGCAGAAGACAGAGTGGAAGCTAGGAAATCGCATTCACCTTGGGGGCAAGGAAAGTCTAAGAACCAAAAAGGGAAGAAAGAAAAGTTTGATATGTATCATAAGGCAGCATGATAATGGTATTTGGAGGGAAAGGAAAGAACTGCCAGGTGTCCCTGAGTTTAGAGCTGTTGCTGCTGCTGTTACTGTGGCCTCTTCGTCTCAGTGGTGTGGGTCCCCACCTCCCTGTACCTGAGCTGTGTGCAGGGCACAGCCTCAGACTCTAGCTAGTCCTAAGTCCACCAGGCCTGACCCACAGGCTCCCCCTGCCCCCAATAATGCCCTCTCCACGTCTGTTTCTTCAGCGTTGCCGCAGCCCTTCCTGAGCAGCTTTCTAGCAATCCAAGACTGGAATATTAGCCATCGGCTGCCCCACATAAAGCCTGTGTTGCTAGTCACTCACTGCCTTTCAGCAGCTTTGTAAGGTACATTATTGGCTGACTCTTGCAGTGACTTTGGCTACTACCGCCCAGAAAATGAATCCAAGTGTGTGGAACAGCCAGAGCTGAAGGGCCACGACCTGGAGTTTTGTCTGTTTGGAAGAGAAGAGCACCTGACAACAAGCGGGTGAGATGGTTTCTTCTCCTGTATTGCAACAGAGGAATCGTCATTGCTCAGAGTGAAAGCTGCTTCTCTCCAGAGACATAAGCAATATTTTAGAGTGTTCTTTTTCTGGTGGGATGCCCTCCCCGCAAAAAGGCATAGCCACAGGCAAGGGTGTTTGCCATATCAGAGGACCTCAACCCCTCTGACACCACAAGGCAGAGGGCCAGGAGCAAGCTCAGCCAGGTCCTGCCTTCCACAGACTCCCCACAGGCAGAGAAAAGCAGTCCCATTTGCCATCAATGTCCGTACCTCCATCATCTGGCACCACTTAAGCCATTCTGGGGACAGGATGAGTTTACTGTCTCAATGTATTGTGCTCTTGAAAAGCACCATCTGATAGAACTTTGTGTGGCGATGAAAATATTCTATGAGCTGCCATGTCTAAGGTGGTAGCAACTAGTCACATGTGGCTATAGGTACTAGTATAACTGAGGAACTGGATTTTTTATATTAATAAATTATAATTCTCCCCTCTGTTTTTGTTGTTGTTGTTGTTGTTGTTGTTTTTGAGACAGAGTCTCACTGTGTCACCCTTGGTAGAGTTCTGTGGCGTCACAGCTCACAGCAACCTCAAACTCCTAGGCTTAAGCGATTCTCTTGCCTCAGCCTCCCAAGTAGCTGGGACTACAGGCGCCCACTTCAATGCCTGGCTATTTTTTTTTTCTTGGTTGCAGTTGTCGTTGTTTAGCAGGCCTGAGCTGGGCTTGAACCCACCAGCTTTGGTGTATGTGGTCAGTGCCCTACTCACTGAGCTACAGGCCCCGAACCTCTCCCCTCCCATTTTTGTACCACTTGTTAATGAACTTTTCCTGGGGTATAGTTCTTTCTGAGGGAGAAAGGACAGGAATGTCCCCAACAGGGGGCCAGAGATGCTCAGTGGGCTTAAGGCCTGAAGCTATACAGAGTACTCCCAAATGGACTTCCCCCCAGGCCTGAAAAATGATGTAAAGATGAGCAGCATTTTTGCAGCTTTTCAAATCTTGTTTCCAGGAAATAGAACCCAGGAACGCATCCTTATATTCTGTTAACAAATCTTCTCTGCCTTTCAGGTACCGGAAAATTCCAGGAGACAAATGCCAAGGTGGGGTGAATCCAGTTCGAGAAGTAAAAGACTTGAAAAAGAAATGCAGAAGCAACTTTTTGAGTTCAGAAAAGCAGGTATGTTAAAATAGATGTAGTTTTTGGTCCAAGTGAGACTTTGTGTTCTGCCAGGAAAAAATCAAAGTTATAGCATCAAGAATTTGGTAACTGATACAAAGTGGCCCAACTACCTGCATCAGGCTTCCCTTGACACAGGAAACTGATGGGAAGAAGGATGGGTCACATAAACCAGTGATAAGCTCATCCTACTGAAACCTTTTAGTTGTTGTTGGGGGTGGGCGATAGTATTCTGTAAAGTTGTAGAAGTCTTAGAAACAAAGAGTTGTGGGAATTTCTGGGCTTAGAGCCATTTGAAAAAAGACCCAAGAAGGATGTCAATAAAGGCCGTGACTTGAATGCCATACAGGGTGAGAAGAGCACTGGATGGTAGTGGGGTAAATGAAGGAGAAACTGAATTACCGTAATCAAGTGATGTTTACATGTCTATAGTGCTGATCTATCTAGTTGGGATTTGGAGATAGGGCAAAGAGGAAACCTCTCAATAACGAAGCACTGGCTCAGCAGCATAACTTGGGGCGATAAGTTGTGGGCCCCTCTTTCCTAACCTGTAACCCAGCAGGTGGCACTGGACAATTTGCAGTCCTCCTCTCTGCTGTTCTACAGGATGTGGGACTGACAAGGGGCAGGAGTGAGAAAGCAGTGGGAGAAGAGTGTGTGGGCGTGTGTATTTGTAAGGGGGCATGTTCCTCCTCTACACCCCTGCCCTGGACTCCTGGTGGCTGTCCTCAGAGTGTTTGTGTGTGTGATTGCACAGGACTCCCGCCCACAGGGACACAGCTTGTCCCAGAATCCAGCTCCGCCTCCTCTCGGACACATTGAAAACACACACTCCCTATCTCCCACCCAGAAGCAGGTAGGTCACATACAATGATCTGATGAGGCTTATTTGTAAAAACATACCCAAAGCTAACTTTAAAAATAAATCTTGGGCTTGGTGCCCATAGCACAGTGGTTATGGCACCAGCCACATACACCAAGGCTGGCAGGTTGGAACCCAGCCCAAGCCTGCCAAACAACAGTGGCAACTACAACAAAAAAATAGCCAGGTATTGTGGCGGGCGCCTGTAGTCTCAGCTACTTGGGAGGTTGAGGTAAGAGAATTGCTTAAGCCCAAGAGTTTGAGGTTGCTGTGAGCTGTGATGCCACGGCACTCTACCCAGGGCAACATAGTGAGACTGTCTCACAAAAAAAAAAAAAAAAAAAGAGTAAATCTTGGTGTCATACCATGGCCTGCTTGGTATAGCAGTGCCACAGCTTCTTCCCAGACAATGCCCTGTTGTAGTCATTAAGCCATTGTCACAGTCTCCCTTTCCTGCGCCACCCTTCAGCTGCAAGCCCTGTAAAGAGTGGTAATGGGAAATAGTGGCAGTCACCATATTCCATCTAGTCAGTTGCCAAGGCTTCCAGTGTAACTGACAGTGAAGCCACTGAGTTTGCCGCTTCAAGGCAGTGGGAGCTCAGATTACCCTCTACCAGCTGTGCTATCTTCCTGGTAACATTGAGGTGGTTCATCTTGGGGAGTTGGAAAAGTACCCTCATTAAGTGCTTTGGGGCTGCAGATCATGCACAAAGAACTGAGGGGCTTATGTGGCTGCTTTGAATGCAGTCCTAGAATGTGCATGCCTAAGAGCTTTTGTTTATGTTTCAATTTATCAAGAATTCCAAGTCAAATTCTGTTCCCATTATCCTGGCCATCGTGGGATTGATGCTGGTCACAGTCGTAGCAGGAGTGCTCATTGTGAAGAAATATGTCTGTGGGGGAAGGTAAGGAATGTGGAATTAAATCAAAGATACTGAATTCAAAACAGAAAGCCAGCCAAAGCCATATGGTTGAGTCTGCCCTTGGCAAAATCTAGATACTTGAAATGATGGTCTTGAAAAATCAGGCCCAGATCTCATGTCTTAACATTTTTCATGTGTCAGCTGACCGTGGGCTGTGCTTCCTGTGACTGGTACTGTGAGTGTGTGAAACTGGGACAGCCCACAGTCTTGCAGAAACGCAGCCCTGTGCATGGAGGCTGACGCAGCGTCTGTTCACAGGTTTCTGGTGCACCGGTACTCCGTGCTGCAGCAGCACGCAGAGGCCAATGGCGTGGACGGCGTGGATGTTTTGGACACAGCCTCTCACTCCAATAAAAGTGGTTATCATGACGACTCAGATGAGGTGAGACTGTTTTCTTCTTGAGGGGTAGTCCAAAAATACAAAAAAAAGTCTGTGTTCTCTTATTTATGATCAAGGTACAATTGAGTTAAAGGCAACTTACTAACTCTAAGATTTGTTAAGCCCAAGAGCTGGGTGCTTGCTTTCAAAATAGGAATTTTGTAGTTCATCAGTAACATGGTGTGTGTCTTTTTTTTTTCAGGACCTCCTTGAATAGCTCTTCCAAAGAGCTGGGACCCAGCACGGATGGTAGGACCACAGTACCTCTCACGCTCCCTGTGGCCCAACTCCCGTCGTTGTGAGGGACCCAGCTCTGTCCTGCTGCTTCCGTCAAAGCCAAAAGGACCTACACTAAAGAAGTGCAGGGGGGTGGGGAACCCTCAGCACTTTTTACAATTGGCTCTGAAAAAAGGAGGAAAAACTTAAATTCTTTAACCTTTTACTTAAAGTTCTGTCTTTTTGCAAAGTGTGGGTTGGAGGGGTTGTTTCTGTTTTTTAAGGGAAATGAAATGTAATTAAAAGGGACCGGCTCACTAACCCACCCTTGTTGTGCACGGCGCCCACCCCAGGGCATCTGCCACCTCCAGCCATCAGCTCTCACAGTGCACTTGGTGCTGTCCCTGGGCTCTGCTGGCCACACGAAGCCACTGCAGAGATGAAACAGAGGCTGCAGCGGCTGGCACAGCCTGAACAGCTTTTCTCCATCTGGGGACAGCCCTACTCCAAGAACATTGCATACCAGCTCCTCGCAGAGATCCTGCTTCCTTTTTTTCTTCCCCAAGGGACCACAGACCACAGTAATTTTTCTTTTCCCCTGTTTAATTAGGCAATACCTTTGTTAATTGCCCTTTGGCAACTAACTTAACCATGTGCTTCCAACACACTAAATCAGGAAAACTTACAGGGCAATATTTTTAACTTGGGGCAGGAAGAAGGGAGAAGCAGAGAATTGACTAGATTTAGCACCTATTAAAGAAGAAATCCTTGCTGCTTCTGAGATCGTTCAAGCTGTGCTTTGTGTGTGTGCCAATGGACTTGCTCAAGGACAGGGTACAGGGTTGGCTGGAAGTCTGCCCAGGCTGAGCGATCCCTTCCCCAAAGTTGACTGTTGAGTGCGAGGTGTGGCCCCAACGTCTTCCATCCCCCTGTCAACCTGATTGGGGGCTGGCTGGTGAACAGCTGCAGTGGCTGCTCATCTGCTTCCTCCTAGGTTGCTGTACATGGAGCCACGACTAGAAATGGTTTCAGATGTATAGACTTTTTTTTAAATCAGAATTTTATTACCAGGCTGGCCTTCCTACCCATATTTCTCACCTTTACTGCATCATTTGTTGGCCTGAAAATTTTGGCTAAACCAATTGAAAACACACTTGCAGTCTAGATGATGCTTTCTCTGATATATTTAAGTTCATATTTTGAATTAAGGAGGTTTCCCATTTGAGATTTTTCCAAATTAAAAAACTATAGAATGTGGTAGGATGGATTTTGGGGTGGACATATTGTGATGGAAAGCTGCAATGAGTTTTGGTTTTGTTTTGAGACAGGGTCTCACTCTGTTGCCAGGGCTACAGTGCAGTGGTGTCATCATATCTTGCTATAATCCCAAACTCCTGAGCTCAGGTGATCCTCCTGCCTTAGCCTCCCAAATAGCTGAGACTACAGGCATATGCCATCATGCCTGGCTAAGTTGTTGGGATTTGGGAAGGGGGGTTTGTTTGTTTGTTTGTTTGTTTGCTTGTAGAGATGGGGTTCCCTGTTGCCCAAGCTGGTCTCAAACTCCTGAGGTCAAGCAATCCTCCCACCTCAGTCTCCCAAAGTGCTAGAATTACAGGTGTGAGCCACTGTGCCTGGCCTGCAATAATTAGTTTTAATATAGCTTAAAAATTTGCTACACAGGAATATAATATGGTAAACTGTTGGTCTTTATGTACTACTGTGCTGTCATTGAAATCCCAATGATTATGATTGCAACACTCTTTAGTAGATGCCATTTGCCATTCTGCTGCTAGTTTATTTTGTGGCTAGAAAGCCAATAAAAAGCAAATGTGCCAAATTAACTTTTGTCAGAATGTGAGCAGATGGCTAACTTCTTTCCTCCCCAGAATGGATTAACAGCAGCATGGAAAGTGGAGGAGGCAGTGGGTGGAGAATTTGAGAGATACTGAAACTGCAGTAACATTGAGTGAGTCAGGAGGCTTCAGTTAGAAAATGAAGTTAGGGCAGCTTTGGTGAAGAGAATGAATATTTATTTGTTAGAGCCAGAGTGCACTAGTCTTTCAGAAAGTGTCAGCCATTGTCCTGCCCTCAGTGAATTTGGTGCCCAGAAAAGACCCATTTACACCATACACCTTTTCTCCCAGCATCTGTGGGTAGATAGACTAATACATGGTAATCCTCTTAGTTTCGAGGCAGGAAAGTTAATACTGTGCTCTAAATATATAAAATTAGGGCTTTTTGCTTACAGTAATATCTGAGATTTCTGTTGAACCTTCTCAGAGCACTTTCACTAGCATTATCATGTCGTTTATACCATGTCGTTTAAACCTCACAGCTTTCTTGTGATGGAGCTGAGGAACCAAAATAGAGTAAGTTGTCCAGGGTCTCTGTGGGTGGTATGAGCAGTGCTGGTGAGTTGTCTTCAGAATCCTGAAAATCTTTCTGCATGCCAGCACTGACGATTCAGGGCAGGGCTGCGTTCTTGTAGATGACTTCCTATTCCTTTCTCTCAGAGGGGTATTTAGCATCTTTTTGCCATCTTGGTAAACAGAAAATTCTATTCTCCTATTTTTCATGGCTGAAAATACAAATAATGGTAATTATTCTGCAGTTGCGTTCAAGAGTGCAGAAGTAGAATCTCCATTGCAGGTCTCCCTCTTCACCTCCTGGATTTCACCCGTGGCTGGCCAGTTTGGTTGGTCTGAGGACGGCCAGTGAGTCTGCCTCATTCCCTTTGTTGGCTAGTTAGCTTCCTTTATTACTGCTCGCTCTCAGATGTACACCCTCAGCCAGAGAGTAAGACAGTCCCAATCCACTAGAGCTCCTTAAAATATATATATATATTTCTATTTTATCCTGCTTGTGTTAGGAGCATTAACTTTGAAGGTAAAACATAGTATATTATTGTGTAACAGAAAACATTATTCTGGAGGTTTCAGCAATGGAATTTAGCATTATAAGATAGGTTGGACATATCAGAAAGTCCAAAGCTCTTAAATCCAGGTGGAGAACTCACCCTTCCTGCTATGGACCCAAGGGGGCTTTAGGTTTTTAGTGAGACCAGAAACCAGTGATGGATACACTGAGACTATTAATTGATTAGAAACACTATTTAGACGAATAAAAGCCTTCGAAGAGTTGCGATAGTCTAGGGTGGGCTCAGGAGATTCCAAAGATTAAATATAACTCAAACTTAGACCTCAGCCTCTGCCTCTGAGTCGGCTGTCTAGTATACAGAGTCAGTCTCTCTACTCTTAGGCTGGCCGCTGGGCCTCTGCATGCCCAATTGGCCTTTCTTCCCCAACAGATTATAATATACTGGCCACCTGCAGCTCTAGCCAAACCCTTGCTGTAAACTTTAGTTCTTCCCTGGCCTTTGTCATGGTACCAGGTTACAGAGAGGAGCCAGGGACGTCTATCCCTACCCCAGGGTGACTGCACTGACCTAAGTTCAGTCATTTGTTTAGTTTCCAGGCAAACCATCCAGGTAGAAAGGGTCTCTTTCCTTTTAGGAAGCTCTGGAGAGCCCTGTCCCCGCACGCAGTGGCCTAGAGCTCATCCTACTCCTTGTCAGCATAAACCCTTCTACCCCATATTAAGCCAAGATACTTGGAACTGCTAAAATAAGAAGGGATTCAGCTTTTCAACTTAGCTGCCACCTTTCCTCAAGCAGAAAAAATGAACATGCACTTAAATATCCTGTGAACAAAACCAAAGTTTAAGACTTGTCATGTGATAGGGTGACGGGGGGGGGGGCAGAGTCAGCAGGTGCCAGACTTTCTGTTTCATCTGCCACCAATTTGTCCAGCTCAGGCAGCTCTGAGATCACCATCCTGACCTAGCAGAGCCCAGGCTTTGTCCTCATGGAGGATAATTGAAAGAGCAGGAGTGTTTTGACTTCTTGGTTATGTTGCATTATAATAGTAAGAGTCACAACATTAATTTGAAATTGTCTCCAACAACTGCTGTATGTGTTTTTTCATACCAGTGCATTCTTAAGTATACTTGTTTATAAGGAATAACCTAAACTAACCTGTACCTTTATATATATATGTGTGTGTACATATATACATGTATAAACTGTATAGTGTACATTTTAATGACTTATTGAGATGCCCTAAATCTTTTAACATCTCATCCTCCGCATGCCCTCGGTTGTGGTGAGGTGACTTCACATTCCCTGATGACTCTGCCCTCCTCCTGTGTTTGGAACTCCGGGGAAAAGGGTTTTGGTCGTCCCCTCCTTAATCCTCGTGCACAGAAATGCTCAGGGTCCCCACGTGCCTGTTGTTCAACCCTCTCTTGTCTCTTGTTCCCTTTCTGAGCATGTGGTCCCTCCCCAAGCTGTGGGACAGCTGCCTTCCTATGAGAGTGTAAAGCAGTATTAAAATCTTTACTGCATGTGCTCTAAAAACCCAAGTTTTCTGTTCCCATGGGACAGAAAATTGCATGTGAGGTGGGATAATCAAGTTTCAATGATCCATGTCAGTTAACACAACAAAGTCAGACTCCATAATAAAATTCCACAAAATGAAAATAGAATTCAAATTTCTTTAGCATTGTGTAAATAAATCTGGATGTGTTTAACTTTGTATTGGTACTTTTCTGTATATTTGAAATATTTGGGTTAGAAATAAAACAGACTGGACTTTGTTACCTGACCTATTGAGATGACTAAGCTATAATTTGTTAAGATGATAGTCTTTGCGGTTTCCTAGCTTCAAAAATCAAACTCCAGCAAGCAGAGACTAGACCAATTAAGGAGCCAGGACGGTACGTTTATAGCATGAGAAGGTATTAGGTAATCTATGGGGAAAATGACTGAGAAAAAAGTGAAATTAAAAAAAGAAAGAAATGAAATTTTCCCCGTAAGTTATCTAATCAGCTTCTTCTTCAGTTGCTTGTTCTTTGTGCTCATACAGATCTACGTTCTGCAGGTGTTTGTAAGACCAGCTTTCTTGTTCTTACCCCACAGTCTAGCAGACCCACCCCACACACCACCTCAGGTTTCAGTTGCTATATTCTTCCTTTTGGACACAGCAACATATAATTGCTCTCCTGAATCCTATGTTCCTTGTAGCGGGTTTGGCAGTCATTGACAGCAGCAGTGATTTTGTCTTTGGTAACTCTGCCTCAGCACCTCGTGTTTCTGCTGCCGCTCTTAACTCGTGATCCTTCCTCATCCTTTCATCTAAGGACCTTTGGAGAGCTGCAGCTTCCCTCTCTTCTCAAGTGTTTCCTTTGGGGGAGGTTCCTGCCTACCTGCCTTCCTAGGTGATGTTTCCATTTACCATTTGGGGAGTTCGTCTGAAGATGACAGGGCAGAGCCCTGGTTCTTGAGGCCACCATCTGGTGGGAGGGTTTTGACCCTAGGACATTATCTAAGGTAGTTGTTTTATTTTAGGGAATCCTATCAGTACTCTAAGACTTCCTGCACCAGAATCTCTAGGTTGCTTTTGAAAGTGCAGAATCCCACCCCAGAGTTACTGAATTAGACATTCTGATGGGCAGACCCTAGGAATCTGCATTGTAAATTTGATTCTTTATACTTTCTTTTTAACAAACTAAGACTGAAAGCCTAGGTCTAATTACTCACCAAAATATGGGTTAAAAGGGGGGAGACTGTCCATGCTCATAGGGGCCTTGGCTAGGTCAGGCGAGAGAAATAGTTCAGAAAGAACTTTAAACTGATTCTGCCGAGGTACAAGTCTAGCCTTTTACCAACCAAACCAGCCCCAGACACCAGACTTTGAAGTCACCTCTTTGGCCATACTATTCCCTGGTAAACAGATTACTGAGCCCAGGTTGTCCTGGACCTCAGCCCCTATGCTAGTTGCAAAGAAGCTGGGAGTTTGTCACCCCAAGATAATAACACAAGCTCCTAGGATCTTATTGACTGCCCCCAAATTGAGAACAAAAATGTGTAAAGAGTCTATTCATTCAACCTCACTCTTTTTTTACATGAAAAAAATACAGAGGTAGCAGAGGGGGTCTGTGGAAACTGTAATTTCCATTCAACTTTGCTATGACTTTAAAAAATCTCTAAAAATTGAGTATGTTTTTTGAAAATAAGAGGGGAAAAATACAAACAATATAGAAAGTGGAGCATGGTGGGAAACCAGACAATTTGGATGGGGTGCACAACATGTGTGGGCAATAATTGGTGAGCCTGGAAATTGTGTAGGACATTCAGTACGTATTGTGTGACTAGCACCCACTATGGGCTGGCCACGTTCCTGTATTTTTATCATTGTGTCCTCAAGACATTATCCCTTGTCACATAGACTGGGGACCTGAGGCTCCAAGTAAGTGATTTGCCAGGTCACAAGCTAGCAAGTGAGTGGACAGCCAGAGACCACACTCAGACCCTCGGAGCCCACCACTGCTGCCTCCCTATATTTGCACTTTATCTCACTGGCAAGGGAGCCATTGACAGCTTTCAAGGGGAAGCAGTGCTGGGTTGACCTAAAAATAGCTTACATTTATCAAGCACTTAGTCGGTTACAGACTGCTAAGCACTTTACAGAGATTACCTCCTTTAATCCTCACAACAACCCTATGGTCGCTGTTATCTTCATTTTACAGATGAGGAAACAGACTTAAGAGAGACTGATGTGTTGCAAGTCACACAGCTAGCTGGGGCTAGAGCCAAAGTGGAGACTGTCCCCACCACTGCCCTGGGCTCCACACCCCGGAGCATGGGGAGGGGCCTATAAAGGTGGAGCTGATAAGAATTAACAACCCACTGAGCATGGGAGCAGAGGGAGAAAGAGAGCACACCTTCAAGTGTGTGCTTGTGAATCAGCTATATTTGAGACCCAATTGCCCTGTTGGGAGAGCTAGAGGTCAGGAGCAAAGATGTCACCCAAACCTGACAGAAGCCAGAGGTTCTTTTTGGATGGTCTGTGCTCAAGCTCTCCCCTCCCTCCCTAGTGCCATGAGGGGTGTCATCTCTCTCCCCAGATAACAGGGCCACCTCCGCCCTCCTTGCTGTGGCTATTCTGGGCTGCACTCTCATGCCCCTCTCTTCCTCTAGCCCCTACTTCAGCCCTTCTGGGAGTAGCCGAGTGGGGAAAGGCCAGCCCAGTTATGTAACCCGGTGGATGGGACCCTGGGAGGCCAGCCTGGAGAGCAGGTGCTCAGCCCCTCCCTCACCACTAGCAGTGAAAATCTCCAGCTGGAGCCCAGCCTCTGGGTAGGCCCAGCATGGAGGCAGCCACAGGTCCGGAGGTGGCCTCAGGATCCAAGCTAAAGGTGAAGGAAACCTGCTCACCCGAGGCTGAACGACCCCAAGCTCCACCTGGACAGGAGGCTGGTTGCCCCAGTCACCAGCTCCTGCCCCCCATAGAAGGTGACCTATGGCAGGTGGGGAGGAGGGGGAGGCCGGTGGTGGGATTTGAGAAGGGCAGCCCTACCCCGGCCTGCACCTCAGGGTTTTGCAGAGCTAGACAACTTTGTGGGCTTGGTACTCTGGATGGAGGATTGTGCACTGGAGCTCCCATCCCCTTCCTTGGTCAATTCTGACTTTGCTGCCCAAGTGGCTCTTCTGGGTCTTTGCTTTTTATATGAAAAGTCCATGAATGGTGTTTGTGGAACTTTATAGTGACTGAAAATGATCTGTTTATATTTTTACCTTTTAAAAAATGTCTGTCACAGGGACTAGGAAGGCCTGCTATACTAATAGCCAGTCAGGAAGTAGTGAGAGGTGAGATGCTGGCGGTCTGCAATAGGACAAGGAGGGAATCAAAAGCTATAGTGATGGGGAGGCTGTGTGTGGAGCTGCATGGTGACACAGCCTCTCCCTCAGCCGTGTCACAGGTGCTTACCCCATGGGAAGTCCTGACCCCTCAGTGTCTGAGCTCCGTGGAAGCGGAGCCTTTCTGGGAGAAGCATTTGATTTCCCCTCCATGGTGGCCCCTATGAGCCTCTCAGCAAAGAGGCATCCTGGAGCCAGGAGGTGACTGGTGCCCCTTCCAGCCCAGGCTCCCCTGCTGCCCACCTCCAACTGCTGGCTAAGGCCTCTTGGGCTAATACCTCTGACATGCTCACCTGTGGGGCCCTGGGGGCCAAGCACAGTGTGTGTCCTGCTTCCCTGGCTCAGCCAACCAGAGGGAGAGGGCAGAAGCCAGGCTGTTCCCTGTGTGTGATAATCGTAATCACAGGCAGGGGCAACCACAGGACTGCATTAAACATTCAAGATAGTTACCTGCATGAAGAAGTCTCAGCTTTATGGCACCTTGAAGTCTTAAGTGCAGAGGATGCAAAGGCAAAACACGAGAAGACTGTGGATTCTCAGGGCGGGGAGAGGTAGGAGGAGAAATAACAGACTTGAAGGCAGAGATCTAGGCTCAATTCCCACTGCTGCCTCTAGCAGCTCTGTGACCTTGGACAAGTCAATGAACTAGTCAGTTTCAATTTTCACTCTACAAAATGATGACTAATAACATCTATCTACTAGGGTTGTTGAAGGGATTGCTGAGATGATCCCAAGCGCCTTGGAGAGGCCAAACCAAGATGTGAATATATAATACCAAGTCAGGAGTGAAGGCCAAGGGTTCTATCTCTGAACAGGGTCATGCAGGGGAAACTCTCTGCTTCTTACCATCTTGATGGAAGAGGTTGGGCTTTCAGAAACAATGTCAAGGACAGAGAGCTGGCTGAGTTTGTACCATTAAAAAAGGGGTAGGGGTAGCAGAAGTTATTATGAACATTTTAACCTGGGGTGATTGAAGCAGACAACCGGTTTCTTCCCTGGGAAGAAATTACAGGGAATAAGTTACTGTCAGAAGGAGAATGAAGCCAGGACTGCTGACTCCCTGACTATAGGTCTCCACAGCACCCTGGAAGAGGGCACTTATCTCACACTTCTCCCCTCAGTGCAGCCTGACAGGTCCTGGCCATGGTCCCAAAAGGGCAGCCTGAAGATCTGTGCTTGTGTGCAGCAGCTTTATTGGCTGCACACCTCAGGGCTGCCAACACCCAGTAGTTCAACCCAGTGATACCCCAGAAGCCACTAACAATAGGCCCTCACTCGACACTATGCAAAGTGTGTGTGTATCTGTTAGCTGCTTGGAATAAGACGTGAGTTCAAATCCTAGCTCTGTCCTTTGACCCTCAGCAAGTCAATCCATCTCTCTGGGCCTCCATTTTTTCATCTATAAATTAAGGAGTTAAACTAAATCAGCGTCTTAACCTTTTGGTGGATATGGACCCCTAGGAAAAACTGATGAGAACTATAGACTCTCACCCCAGGAAAAATATACACAGAAATTTCAGGAAGTCCACAGAACCCCTGAAGCCCATCCAAAGATCTTTTGGGGTTCCATGGGTCTGGATTAGATGTCCCCTTAAGTTCTCAGAGAGCTCCAAAGATTTCCTTCCTTCCTTCCTCTCTTCCCCCCTACCGCCCCCTCTTTCCTTCTTTTTTATTTTTTAGACAGAGTGTCTCACTTCGTTGCCCTGGATAGAGTGTGGGTAGAGTGTCATAGTGTCATAGCTCACACGACCTCAAACTCTTGGGCTTGAGCAGTCCTCTTGCCTCGGCCTCCCAAGTAACTGGGACTATATGCACCCACCGCAATGCTTGGCTAGTTTATTTTTTTAGAAATGGGCTCTTAGGGGCTGGGCACAGTGGCTTATGCCTATAATCCTAGCACTCTGGGAGGCTGAGGTGGGTAGATTGCCTGTGCTCACAGGTTCGAGCCCAGCCTGAGCAAGAGCAAGACCCCATCTCGGAAAATAGCCAAGTGTTGTGGAGGGCACCTGTGGTCCCAGCTACTCGAGAGGATGAGGCAACAGAATCACTTAAGCCCAAGAGTTGGAGGTTGCTGTGAGCTGTGACGCCATGGCACTCTACCAAGGGTGACAAAATGAGACTCTGTCTCAAAAAAAAGAAGGAAGGAAGGAAAGAAAAAGGGAAGGGAATGGAGGGAGGGAAGAAGGAAAGAAAGAAGGACGGGAGAGAAGGGAAGGGAAGGGAAAGGAAGAAAGGAAGGAAAGAAAGAAAAGGAAAAAAAAAGAGGCTCTTGCTCAGGCTGGTGTCAAACTCCTGAGCTCAAGCAATCCATGTGCCTCATCCTCCCAGAGTGCTAGGATTACAGGCATGAGCTTTTTGTCAAGCAAGCCTGCTGTGTGGCTGAATAGGTGTAAACAATTTTATGTCTATCCTCAAAATTGCACTGAGGCAGTGTATCCAGATAACAGGAACAAGGGCCAGAAGAGAGTTCCAAAACTGTGAGAGGCTGGGAAGCAGGCTGCATCCTGTCATGGAGAAGGGGAGACCCTGAAACAGGAGAGAGTGCTCATCTGCTGATTTCAGCATCATTGCTCCAACTGGCCATGCATCTTATTTCAATCTGAACTCATCTGAGTCTTCCAGGCATGGGAAGCCAAATCTCATGCCGGGAGGAAACCTTTCTTCCTTCTTGCCTTCCTTTCCTCCTCCCTTCTCCTACAAATATTTATGGTGTGCCTATTATAGGTGCCAGAGTTACAGAAATGAACAAAATGAGCGAAAAATAACTGCCCTCATGGAGGCTATATATTCTAGTGGAGAGAGATAGCCAATGAATAAATAAACGAGTAAAATATGCACTATGTCAGATGGTGATAAATCCTATGTCAGCAACAATGCAGGGACAGGGATAGAAAGTGTGGGGTAGGAAGCATGAAAGCTCCCCATTGCCAATAGAATATTCGTTGAATGGCTGAGTGCCTGTAGCTCAGTGGTGAGGTCGCCAGCCACATGCTCTGGGGATGGTGGGTTCGAACCTGGCCTCAGCCTGCTAAACAAACAAATAAACAACAACAATAAAAACAGCCAGGTGTCAAGGTGGATGCCTGTAGTCCTAGCTACTAGGGAAGCTGAGGCAAGAGAATTGTTTGAGCCCAAGAGTTTGAGGTTGCTATGAGCTATGACGCCACGGCATTCTACCAAGGATGATAAAGTAAGACTCTGTCTCAATTAAAAAAAAAAAAAAGAATATTCATTGCAGGCCTCAATGACAAGGCAAAATCGGTGGGCTTGGCGAGGTGGCTCACTCCTATAATTCCAACATTCTGGGAGGCCGAGGTGGGTGGATTGCTTGAGCTCAGGAGTTCAGAGCAGCAAGAGTGAGACCCCATCTCTATTAAAAATGGGGGGG